TTGCAGTTTTGTTTTCGAGATGGTTGCCCTGAAAAAGAAAGAAATAAAGAAAATGTAGTAATGCTCATGTTAAACTTGAAGACTTCACAAAAACCTGACATGGTGGTTTTCTTCTTGAAAATTAAATTTCATATTCTGCATCAAAAACAGAAATTTTTAGTAAAGCTTCACAGTACCAAAGAGGAAAACCTTATTAATCAATTCTGTCATTAAAATGACACTTTATGGTCTACAGGCTAGAAATTATAACAAGATCAGTGATATGCTCAGAGAAAAACAAATATTTACTTTGCGACAGTATAATCACCAGATGACACTGTCAACATTACTATATGACTTCCCACCTACTCAGCCTTTAAGTTAAAGCTATGAATTACCGTTATTTGCAATGTCAAGATTAGACAAATTTTGAATTCAGTTCACTGGTTTCATCTAGCAATCTGTGTTCTCGTGTCTTAAGTCTGTCAGTTAATGAACAGAATTGCTTTTTCTTAGTTAGAACTGGCTGTTCTTTTGAATTAAATGAATGAATAGCAAACAAAAAGGATACTCACATTTGTTTACTGCCACTAAGGACCACTAATGGAGACTGTGTTTCTTTCTGTTTCTGTTGCAAGAGGCTACGTGGTCCAAGTGAGTGTCTGTTGAGCTCATCTGTTTCATCGACTGGAAACAAAAAATATTTGACACTTCAGATGGGGCACATTCTGTTTGCCACTAAACATTCTGAACTGTTTGCAGCACCTGTCACTGATTATCCTAACAACTGGCCAAATTTTAAGTTAGTCTGCCGCTTGAAGTCATCAGTTTCTCCCAATTTCCAACCCATGGTCTGTGTCCATGTCTGCTAGCCTAAGGACAACTGAACAAATATGTCGTGTGTTTTTATGAGCAGGCTCCAGCTTACATGCCACAAAGTTGCTGTATTCGCCTCTGTCCCAGGGCCGAAGCTACTGTGTTTCTTTGTAGTCGGTGAAAATGAACACACAAAAAGTGTGGATGGATATCTATCTGCTATATGGAATCGTGGAATTTTAATATAACCACAATTTACTTCCTTATGGAGCACCATTTAGAAATAGCATCAGATGGGTTCACAGTCTCACGTGCAGCAGGTCCTTCTATGAAACTTTCTAAGTTATTCACTACATGTTTCCACCTATGAGGTCATCATCAGATGTTTTAAAATTATAATTGAAGAAACTGCTGTGCTTCCATATTGTGGTTGTAGGGCGTTACTGTGCAGTGCAAGAGGGACACGAAGCATAACACAACAGGCAGAACAACCCATCGCTTCGTACATACACGCACAGCAACAACCGACAACAATATGGAAGCACAGCAGTTTCTTCATTTATAATTTTAAAACACCTGATGATGACCTCATAGGTGGAAACATGTAGTGAATAACTTTTAGAAAGTTTCATAGAAGGATGTCCTGCACATGAGACTGTGAAACAGTTTGATACAAAATGAAGTGCAGCAGAGTGCTACAATGTAATATTATTTAGAAATAACAGCTCATGACCAGATCTGGACCAATACTCACTCCTTCCTGTTCATTCTTCTTCATCCGTTTCTCCACTTCATTTTTCCCAGGTCTCTTTCCATGAAATTCATGAGACAGGTATCTGAAATTAGACACAGACAACATTAAAGTCACAGTATTTTAGGATCTTACAGAATATGGCCATGTTTCCAAGTAACACGTAAAATCCTTTCATCCTGAAGTTTCAGCCAGAAAAAAAGGGTGATCCGTTTATAGTTCAATCTGTTATTTTGTGAAATAATAAAAATATGTAACATTCCGTTTTCCAACACAACTTACTCATACAGCCAATAACCAGAAATGGGCATGCTACAGCACATTAAAGTCGTAGGGACTGAAATGATTAATGCAAAATATTTTAATTAAAGTACAATGGGACAGTAATAATTTTGAGGCATGTTTCTTCCCAATTCATACAACCTATCTGCAAAATGAACCATTCTGCCACATTCTATGCCTACACAACAAAGTATTTACACACTCAAATGTTGGCTAGTTACAAACTGTCACATACAGAATGGGAGAAAAGAAGTCAAACCAACAAGTATATGTCAAAATGTTCTACTGAAAGCA